CGGGGGGGCGGAGGGGGCTGCTCAAAAGTAAACACAGAGGGGCTGGGCAGAGAAGCAGGATGGAGAGCACGTGGGCCCTAGACTCCCCTGGCCCAGAAGAGGAAGTCCCTGGGACTGCCACTCCTCAGGGCCATAATCTGGCCCTGGGTGTTGGGGCAGGAGACTTGGTAGGTCCTAGGCCACCACCCCGCCCCACCAGCCCCCGCAGTGCCGTCTCTCAGAGGTAGGATGGGGAAACTGTGAAAGCAGGGACTGCCAGGCCCCTTCCTGGCCCTGCCCCCAACTTCCCTGGGCAACCTCGGGCATCGATTCTTAATGCAGAAGGTGAGAATAAAACAGAGCCCGCTTCGGGAGAGTATGGCAAGGACTGATGAGATCAGGTAGTAAACGCTCGGTAAATATTCTCCGATATTCCCTTATCACCGAGATGGACGTAGATGCTTGGCACACTGTGACAGGCCAGGCAACTAGAGGTCATGGTTTTTATTGCCCTGTAAAAGCCCCAAAGTCTGAGATCCCCATTTAAGTCCAGATCGGGGTTTTCACATTTGTTCTTCACTACGGTGCTTCTCTAAAAAAAAAAAAAAAATCCAATGGATGGATTTGCAGACTCGCTTCCTCCTCCGTCCTCACCGGCGTATCTGCGAAACCGCGAGCTGGAGGGACCCCTCTCACACTTTTGCAGACAGGAGATTGTGAAGTCATTTGCCCAAGGTCACACTCAGCCTCCGAGAGGGGCCCTCCTGGGTCTCCGCGTGGACTGTGTCCTGGGTCCTGGTCACGCCCCTGCCGTCAGCCTTTAGCAGCCGCACAGTTAGCTTCGCCCGCCTGCATGGCCTGGACCAGATGCTCTTTGTGCATCTGTTCCAGCTCTCAGGTCTGAGGCTTGACCCCTGGCCAAAGGGCTGTTTTGGCAAACTTTCAGCTCTCTGACCACAAAGGGGAACACTCCGAAATATGAAACGACCTGAAAAACAGGTCCAAGACATTCCCTACGTTTCGTGAGGCTTCTGTTAAGCTACGTAGGATCCGATCAAGCCTGTTCATGTACTCCCCATGACGTCCGGCCCCAGCGGTCAGCGTCTTCCTGCGAACGCAGGGCCCTGGGCCAAGATGACAGGTCAGAGGGTGCATGAGACCTTGGTTCTACCCCGGGGCTGTGTGACACAGTAAAAGGCTGCGGGCAACGCACCGATGGCCCTGAGGGGAAATCAGTCGCCCTGGGCCAGCCTGGGCGCCAGGGGGGAAAGGAAACGGACTTGGAAGGCCTTTCGCTGGGTGGAGCGCGAGGCAGGACCCCCGAGGACTGTTCCCCAATGCCCCGAGCAAAGCTGTGGGGCTGCAGCCGCGATGGCTCGGGCATAGGGGAGAAGGTGGACGTGGCGTTGGACACGTCAGTGGTGGACAGTGTGCGGGAAGCCTGAATGTTTCTGAGCATGACAGTGACGTACGTAATGCAAGTGATATTGGGGCGGACAGACAACTTCAGGGAAACTGGAGAGGTGAGGGGAGACCCGGGGTCTGTTCCAGGAAGTGTGCGGGCTCCTCGGAGAAGTGGGACGTTCCCACGCGAGGTGATTTCAGAAGCACGCCCGGCAGGCAACATCGATGGCCACTCCGTGTTTACTGCCCGCTGAGGAGGGAGGCAGAGGGGCGAAGGGGGAGGAGGCAGAGCTGGAAGGAGAGGGCCGGAGTCTCGGAGTCTCGTTTCTTCCCTCCTGGGCTGGGGGACCTGAGCTAAGTCACTCCCGCTTTACTTTGCTTGCAAAGAGCGCTCGAACTCGTTCGCAGGAAAGGCCGGCATTTCCTGAGCCCCACGGTGGCCACGGATGCAGCTTCTCGTTTCATCCTCACAATAACCCACAGCAAAATGCCCATTTCATGGATGAGGAAACAGAGACTCAGAAAATGTAAAGCTCTTCCCCTCCCAGCGGTGAGGGGAGCAGACCTTAAAGGGTGCGCAGGGCTTGGGGAGGAGGCAAGAAGCAAGGAAGGCAGAGGCCTGGGGGACAAAGCGGCCAGCCTGAGCAGGTCTGGCGGCTAGAAGTGTCCGGGGCCTGGGTAGGCGGCCACATGTAAGCCGGCTGGGCCGGAGGAGGGCCTGTGTTTTCACATGGTAGCAAAAACAATTACTGGGGTGGGTCCTGCTTCTCCCAGCCCCACACAGCCCATGTCCTGGCCCCCTCGGGGTGGGGCCCAAGGCCGCCCCTGCTTCAGCGCCCACCCCACCCCACCCCCAACCCCCGCCAGGTTCTTCGTGAACTTCCCGTCGGCCAAGCAGTACTTCAGCCAGTTCAAGCACATGAAGGAGCCCCTGGAGATGGAGCGGAGCCCCCAGCTGCGGAAGCACGCCTGCCGGGTCATGGGGGCCCTCAACACCGTCGTGGAGAACCTGCAGGACCCCGACAAGGTGTCCACTGTGCTCACCCTGGTGGGCAAAGCCCACGCCCTCAAGCACAAGGTGGAGCCCGTGTACTTCAAGGTATGTCGGCCCGCGACCCACCCGGCCGGCGGGCTCAGGGAGGGCTCCCTAGAGCAGCAGCGGTGACCACTGGGCAGCCGAGCCACTCCCCCCGCTTCACGGCTCGGCTGTGACAAGGAGGGGCAGCAGGATGGGGGCTGAGCCTTGAGGGGGCCTGGTTCCCAAAGCTGGCAGGCTGTCACGTCATGAACCTTCACCTTGGCCGAACGCGGGGTAGCAAGCCTGCTGCGGAGCGCAGCGGGCAGGGTGCCCAGGCATTTACTCCCCCTTCCTTCCTTTGCCCCCAGATCCTCTCTGGGGTCATTCTGGAGGTGATCGCCGAGGAATTTGCCAATGACTTCCCGCCCGAGACGCAGAGAGCCTGGGCCAAGCTGCGTGGCCTCATCTACAGCCATGTGACTGCTGCCTACAAGGAAGTGGGCTGGGTACAGCAAGTCCCCAACGCCACCACGTGAGGAGGGGTGAGGGTGGGCCGGGCAGCTCCCTGCCATGTCCTCCCCTGTCCCCTGGTCTCCCATCTCTCCTGGGGCCCAGGGCCTGACCGCTGGGCAGGAACGCGTCCAGGAGGCTGCGTCTGGGAACAGGCACAATAAGGGAAGGCCCACTCACGCCCAGGCCCCTACTCCTGTCTGCGTCTGTGCAGAGCTGTGAGCCCCAAACAAATTCTCTCCCTTGGGCAGAACAAAGTCCCCTCCCCTAGAACAGGGACGTGCTCGGAGCACCCCAAGACAGCGGCTGCCCCGGGCAGAGAGGCACAGGAGGTTCCTGGCAGGAACCTGGTGATTCCGGCCATTTCCTCCCTGGGCACCAGTCACATGGGCTGTTTTCACCTAGGCTGCCCAGCGCTCTCTCCCACCTCTGCCTCAACAAGGCTGGAGCCGGGCGAGTCACGAGGACGCACACACATGCCTGCGCTGCCCAGGCCCACACGGGCCTGCGTAGGCATCACTCGCATGCACACCAACAGCGGTGTTTACTTCTGGGCTGACCCCAGAGGCCGGACTCCCAGTTCTGAGAAGGTTCTCAGTTCTGGGGCGAGCGCCCGGGACATGGCTCAACGAGAGTGGCTGGCCTCAATGACTTCAGCTGACTCGGAGCAGAGCACGCGGGAAGGGCTGGTCCCGAGACATGGCGGCTGGGAACACTCTCGGCCTCCCTGGGCCCCCAAGGAGGGGCGGCTGGCTCTGGGAGCTCAATGGAGGGGTGGAGGCAGGGCCGGGGTAGGAAGGAGAAGGCGAAGCGGAGGCGGGAATGGGAAGCAGGGGTCAGCCAGCAGCTCAGGACACGCGATGTAGAGAAACATTCCCAGCAGTTTCTCATGGAAAAGCGTTGTCCCCTCCCCGGACTCTGAGCCGGCCTGGGACCGCTGGGCTCCTGCTCACAGGCCTCCCGGTGGGCCCAGCTCTGCGGAGAACATCCCCGATGGCGGCCTTGGGAGACCAGGCCTCCCGACCTTCCTGCCGCTGACCACACTGGCCCCAGGCTTCTTTCGCTCCCTTCCCCCACAGCGGCACCACCCCAGGAGAGCAGGGAGTCCTGGGGAACTGCAGCTCCAGCCAGGCAGCCACTCCAGATGTGCACAGCTGGGCCCCGGCCTGCCCCGGACCCCTGGGTGGACGGGATTTTTTTTACCTGCCCAAGGAAGCACTGGCAGAGCCAGAAATGCTGCTGGAAGCGGCCAGAGGGGCCAGGGAGGGGTCAGTGGGGGGAAGGGGTCTTGCCCTCCCACGCCTCTCCCCAGGCAGACTCTGCCGCCAAAGATGAGTTTGTTTACAGCCAGGAGACAGGACTTCCTGCTTCTAGAGAAAAGGGCCTTTTTTACAGGGGCCTAGAGGGACCGGGGAGGGAGCTAGCCAGCATAAGCCCGAGTGAATCAGAAACACATGGACGCGTTTCCCGACACGAAGCCTTCTCCCCGCCCTTCTCTTGCCCTAGCTGGACCTCTGGGACGTAAATCTTGCCAAACCCCAGGCATTAGGAAACCGCCAGATCTCCCCATCTGCCCCACTCTGCTTGCTCCTTGTGGACAGAATGAGGATGGCTATGGTGGGGAGCGGCCAGGCCCTGCTCCCACCTGGACCTGGCCACCTCGAGTCTGGGCCTCTCCCGAGCTGTGACGGGTGTCGTGGAAGTTGTCCCCTCATCCGCTCGCACACTCTCCCCCAATCTCTGGTCTCCTGAGTTCAGGGGCGCGGCCCCCCAAGAAGACGTGTCTCCCTGGGCCTGGATCCTCAGACTCAACCTGCCGCCAAGGTCCTAGTCCATTCAGAGGGCGGGAGGGAGTGACAGCAGAGTTCTAGAAGGCCTCCATCCAGCTCTTATCAGGGACTCGGAGGTGGGCCAGACACCACTGTTTACTGAGCTGTCTCCACTTCAGGGCGTGTGTGCATTTTTGTGGGTGAGGGAGTGGGGGGCGTGGCGGTGAGCACAAATGGCTGCTATGGGTGGCCGGCGGAGACTCAGACAGGCCGAGCAGAGAGCGCGTGAGTCTCAGAATCAGCGGCAGAGGACTCACATTTGTAAGGTTCTCTGTGCCTCGTGAAACACTTTCCCACACTAGTGTCACTCCGTCCTCATGGAGCTAGGCAAGGCAGACATTCGCATTTTCGAGAAAGAGACCCGGGGTTGCGATGGGCCAGCTGACTTGCCTGGGGTCACACGGCAGGCTCCTAGCAGGAGGGGGGACCAGAACGCGGGGCTAGTGGGCTGCTGTCAACCGCACTGAGCAGAGCCGGTGTCAGCAGGGCGTGTCCTGCCTTGCCGTCCCCCGACCCTTCTCCCCAGCCCCGCAGGCTCCCTGGTCCCGCTCTGTGCCCTTGTAACCTGCCGTGTCCTTCTCCTGTCTCGTCTACAGCCCACCGGCCACATTGCCCTCCTCGGGGCCTTAGGACCCCCTCTCTCCTCCCCGCTCCCTGGCAGCACCTCGAGCAGAAGGCCAAGTTCCGAAGACCCTCCTCGACCTTCCACTTCTGGGCACCAAGGAAGCTGGAGGGATCCCTGACTCGTCTTCCTGGAAAGAGGCCTCTGCCTCGGCCACAGTCCCCCTGGATCCGGTGGCACTGGCTGCCTGGGTGCTGACCCGGTCGGTGGCGGGTGGCCTGTGAGGGTGGGGGACCCTTCCTCCTTGAAGAGCCAGGCCCACCCTTCTTAGCTTTTCTACTCACTGTTAGGGACCCAGCTGAGCAGCTGGCAGGACGCGGGGCCAGGTGTGCGCGTCACTGCAGGAACACACCAGCCCCGATCCTGCCTGCCCGACCAGCATGCAGGTCCCCACGTCACCTATCTAGACTATTACGCACACATATCTACCGTATATACAGATATATTCTATATACAATCTATATATAAATATATATATACATACATACATATCTATAATGCACACATGCAGGGCCCAGAGGCACACGCGAAGCCTCGGTTTTGCTCGTCTGCGTGTGGGACGGGAAGGGGTCCTGGTCACGCTTCTGGGCAGAGATCAGATTGTTCCGGCAGAGATGGGGGTCCCACATCAGCTCAGAGAGGATCTGGGCCTGTGGGCTGAGTCGGGGTGACTCGAGGGCCTGCATGGGCAGGGTTGGGGTGACGTAGCTTGCCAGCAAAGCCCGGCTTGTTCTCTGACCGGCTCCCCACACTCCTTTCCACTTCTAGGCAAGAAGGATTTGGCTCTCCCCCACTTTACCCCCCCCACAAAAGGATGTGGCTCCCTGTCTTACAAGGGCAGACAGGAGGGGCCGGAAGTTCTGGGCAGGGTGACTGCGCTGGGGGAGGGGCCGTGTACAAGCCCAATGCCAGCCCCGGCTGCCTTTGCCACTGAGACAGCCCTGGCAGCAGCGGGGGCTCCAGACCGCCCATCAGCTGGACAGTGTTGACAGGACCAGATGCCTCCATCTCACCCAGGAGCTCTGAGGGCCGAGGGCCTGTCCTCCCCGCTGCCCCCAGCCCCCGCTGCTGGCTGGCAGTCGGTCCTGTCCATCCATCTGGGTCCGAGTTGCTGGGGACCGACCCCATGTGTGCCCCCCGGTCACGTGTATCGTCCTCCAGGATGTTTTGCTGCTGTGGGTGCCGTGCCTGTGTCCCCTCCCGTCCTGTCCTTGTGCGGCCATCTGTGTGACTGCCTGCCCTCCTTTTGTAGTTTCTGATGTTTGTCAGCAGACCCAGACGTGGCATTAAACAGACCCGTTCTTCCTGCGTCTGTGCCCGCTCAGTTGGTCTTTTTCCTGCCATCTGCCACCAGCCTCTGTCTCCCTTCCTCCATTCAGGGCTGGGGCCTGTTCTCGAAAGTCCCGTCTCCCCCGCCCCACCGGCCAACCTGTGTCTCAGCCTTGGCTGGTCATGGGCCACTCCGGAGTAGGGGTGTAGGACTGCGGTGGGGGCCCGGACCTGTTTGGTCGGGAGCACAGGGCTGGAGACTGGAAGCTGGGCTTGGGGCAGGGGCGAGGGGGGAAGGGCAGGAAGGCTGGCTGCGCTTATTTTAAAAAGTCAGGGGGCTTTAATCTTTTGTTCTGGAGCTCTCCTCCCTGGCGAGTGTAGGAAGGTGAGGGAGGAATCAAGGAAGAGATGTTCGGAACGGGGTCTGCTGGTCCCGGTGCCCTGGTGACGGCCTCCACCTCCTGGAGCGGAGCGCTGCCAAGCGCATGGGCCTGCTGCTCAAGCTGCACGTGGCCGTCGGCCCTTGGGCATTTGAGAAAGGAAACGTGCTCTCAGCATTCAACCCCGACACCTTCCCCGGGCTCTCAGACTCCTTTCGGAAGCCCTCTATCCCGCACCCCTCAGCCTCGGCCAGGGCCTGCCCAGCCCCCATGCCTGATGAAGGCAACAGTCAGCAGCCGTCAGCAGCATCCACTCCCCAAGGAGGGACCAGGAGGTCATCACCCCCGGGTGGGCTGCAGGAGAGGCAGGAAGCAGCCTCTGCCCCTTGGGAGGGCTCCAGGCTGCCTGGGAAGATTCAGCTGACACACAGGAAAAGTCTTGTCTCTCCGACCGTGAACTCTTTGGATGCAGGCTGCGCCTCATCCCCTGGGCCTGGCACAGCAGAGGCAGTGGATAGAAATCCAAAGAATAAATAAATACCACTCTTAGAAAGCAAGACCAGCGTGCGGGCCAAGAGCGAGCTGTGCAAACGAGCGGCCAGTGCAGAACGGGAGGACGGCCGGGCGAGGCCTTCCCGGGAGGGCCCCACGCAGGACACAGGGTCAGGCTCCGTGCGGGGGGCAAGGGGGAGTGCTCAGGAGGGTGGCTGCAGGAGGCGGCGGCAGGAGCGGGGAGAGAGGGGGGACCGGGCAGGCAGAGAGCAGTGTCTTGAGAGAGAAGGCAGAGATGGAAGGAGGAAGGAAGAGGCGAACGGACAGGAGCGGCCTCGGGAGGCAGAGGACAAAGGAAAGGGACATGGGAGGAGCCCAGGAGACCTGCTGGGTGCTGGGCCCGTGGCCCCTGGTGAGCTGAGGCTGAGCCAGAGGCGGCGGTGGCCGTGCGGCCCTAGGGACTGTGAGCCGCCAAGGGGCATCAGAGGTCGGAGATGGGGGCTGGGCATAATCTCTGGGACCACGAAAGATCCCCTCCCCAGCTTCACTTCAGTTGGCTTAAGAGTGGCAAAGGGGCCTCCGAAGCAGCCCAAACTGGAATCACTGGGGGATGTGGCCCTTGAGAGAGCCCCCCCCCACACACACACACACTCCTCACCCCCGAGAAAGAAGAGATTGATAATAAGCTGTTCTCCCCGGACCGGGCCAGGCATGCTCTTGCTGGGCAAGGGGAGGACACTAGGTCTCGTGGTGATGCTGGCTCTACACTCGAGGATAACCTTGTCATCGAAGAGCTGAGCAACTGGGTCAGCTCCCCCTGGCGAGCTCGGGCTGTGAGCTGGGGTGTCGGGAATGCGGCTGCGGCGGCTTCCGGACCGAGCGGTCCTGGGCGCGCAGCCCCACAGCGGCCCCTGCTGTCCGCAGCGGGATCCTCACCCGGGCCGCGGCCTGTGCTGCGGGCGACTCGACCTTGGGGGCGGGGGCACCTTCCTCCCTCCTTGAAAGCGGAGAGCACCACATGGAGCCCGAAGCAAAAGAAAAGAACGTGCGCCCCGCGCATACTTGTGAAAACATCCTCCCGTCTTTTGAAACAAGTGGAAAAATTTAATAAATGCCCTATTAAAAAAAACCAAACAAACCTGTGTGTAAAGCCCCACATTGCCGGGGCTGCTGGCTTACCTTCGCTAACCCTTATAAACTCACTCGGTTGGGGACACAACAGCCACGCAGGGTCATTAAGACAAACAACAGCCTGTCTTTATTTAACACTTTGATTTTTTTTTGTTTATCGTGAATATTTTTGCATTGATACAGATTTTAAAAACTATTCTGAGTACTTAATATTGTATTGAAATATGTCTCTCGAGATTGCTGTCCCCTTTCAATTTGTGTGCCCCAAGCAAGTACCTCACTTGCCTGACCCTATTCTTGGCCTCTTCCTAATGTATCCTGTTTGAGAGAACACTCGTTTTTGACCTCAAGAAAGCCCCCCTTCACCCTTACCTAGGGCAACGAGTTTCTCACTAGCTCATTGGGTGCCTTTCGTAAAAGAATTTAACGCACTGGGACTAGAGTTTGGACTGTGGCAGTCCCTGAGGGTTGGAGACCCTTTGGCGCTAGGGAGCAGAGGCCCATTCAGGCCCCCAAAGTGCATGTGGGGGGGGCTGTAACGGGGAAAGGACACGGTTGGGAGTAAGGGGGCGGGGCCTCTGGGAATCAGGAAAAACCTCATGGCCCAGCTCCACCAGGGGAAGGGATTCAGGCAGAGCTGCTCGGGACCCTGGGAACTGGACGGTGGGCCGGGAGGGCCCCACTCCAGGCCGGATCATCTCCTGACCCTCAGCGGTAGGGCCGGGCACCCCCACCGCAGCCAGTGCAGTCAGCCCAGCTTCCCGGCCCCAGATGACTTCCCGTCAGCTTCAACTTCTTGGTCTAAGGCTCTTTCTCACACACATGAAACGCCCATTCCTCCTCCCCTCCCTCCAGCAACCAGCCGCCAATTCCCATCGGCCCGCCCTCATATCCCACCCTTTCTTCATTTGCTTCAGGCCTGACCCCAAAGATCCTCTTTGCCTTCTTGGGTCTGTCTGTCACATGGCCACTGGCCCAGTCTACCAGGGACAAAAGCCACCCTGTTCCCATTCAAGAATCACAAAGTCTGAGCTTCTCAGCCACCCATAATCCAGCGGCAACACACTTCCCTCCTGTTACCTGGCAAATCCGAACCGCTGTCATTCTCCATCACAAATTTGACTTTCTCTAGCTTCTGGAACTTTGCTCACTCGCCCCCACGCTGAAGCAGCTGTGTTCCCGCCGCCCCCCGGCCTCTCCACCTACTGGAGTGGCGCCCGTTCCCCAAGGCTGCTCTGTGTCTCTCCTAGCCAGACACTCCCGGGGCGAGCCCCTCCCCCATG